ATACTCAGATACCAGGCTACAAAACTAAACAAAACGGGCCTTGCAGGTTAGTAGAAAAAAGCAAAGACTAGTCTTACCAGATTGGGAGCCTGGAGAGGGGAATGGCGGGGCTGAACAGGGCAGCACACACACGTTATTGTCCTCATCATCCCGTATGTGTGAGCAGTTCCTTGGATTTAGTGGCTGCTCCATGAATGTCTTTGAATTGAAGAGAGGAGACTTCAAGAGCAAATAGGGCAATGGAATGGGGTGAAGGGGGGCAGGGAGTGGGGTTGGAGGAGCTCACCCCTCTTGAGGGTATGAGCTGGCCAGCAGGGGTGGTACTGAGGGTTCTGGGACCCACTAGCCTCTTTGTGGGCCTCCTCCAGAGCCCTGAGCAACCGGTTTTGCCCCAACTCCTCTTGAGCAAGGACTCAAGGGAGGAGTGGGTCCTTGGCAACGAACCACTGCTCAACCCCAAGGATTGGAGTTTCCCTAATTCAAAATAGAAAAGGGAAAGAGGTCAATCTTTGCCCTGTCTGTCGTTGTTAGGGACAGTGAAGGGAATGTGTACAGTTTGTTTCAAGGTGGGTTTTTCCCCATATTTCTCAGAGTTTCAGTTGGCTAATTTAAGGAACAAATCCTTATTGGAAGGGTACTTCCATTGCTTTTGGGGGACCTGGGGGCTAAGTAAACTTTTTATAATAGTATGCCTTACTTGGTTTTTTTGCGTGTGTTTTTTTTTTGTTTTGTTTTTTTGAGGAAGATTAGCCCTGAGCTAACTGCTGCCAATCCTCCTCTTTTTGCTGAGGAAGGCTGGCCCTGAGCTAACATCCGTGCCCATCTTCCTCTACTTTATGTGTGGGACGCCTACAACAGCATGGCTTGCCAAGCAGTGCCCTGTCCGTACCTGGGATCCGGACTGGTGAACCCTGGGCCACCGAAGCAGAATGTGTGCACTTAACCGCTGTGCCACCAGGTTGGCCCTGTGCCTTGCTTGGTTTTGATTGGAATATTTTGAAACTAAAATGGGGATTGAAACGTGCTCTTCAGTTTAACACACAATGTCTGACTCTGCAAGGTGTACCTTTGGCTGGGTCCTTTCCCAGATCACAGGCTCTTGCTCACCAATGGAGGGCAGTGGGAAAATAGAGCTCCTCTGTACACTCCTTGGTCCCTTGTTGTTCGAGGATAGAACATTCTGGTTACTTGAGTAAGAGTCACAGCCTACCTTCCTCGTGGTCCTATCTGGTGCATCCTTCACCATCTAGAATATGGCCACAGCCCTGAAAGTAAACAGACACGGCCTCCAAGAGGTGAGCCTGGGATCACAAAGCTCATGCATCTTACTCTTGCATTCATGCAATGAGCGCATGAAGTAAGTGACTACTGTGTGCCAGGCACTGGGCTAATGAAAAGACAGGGCTCACAGCCCTGAGAACTGTATGGTGGGAGAGCATAGCAGGTCTTCCCTGAAGGCCTATTAATTAAAATGAGTACTCTTCTTTTATAAACAAATCTAACAAGATTTAGTTTTATTTGCTTTTCTAGCCCACAGCCAATTAGCAGTAGAAAATAAAAAGTATGTTGAGAGGATTGGTAACTAGAGACACAGAAATGACAGTAGCCAGGAATGGAGGAGAAAGACAAAGAACCATACAAAGGAGATGCCGGAATTACAATTTTAATAGTCTGAACAGACCGGTTGGTGTGAGGCCAAGAGCTCAGTGAATCTCCATACCCCTGAGGACATCACTACCTAACGCACTCCAGTAATCATGTTCCTAGTAATGACTATGTCATGCTAAAGAAATGGATAATAACTGTACTTAAGACAGGAATGGCTATAATGTCTTTTTTTTAATTTTGGTTTTGCTTTTATTTTTAAGATTTCCATCTTAACCATCCAAATCATTAAAAATGTGTTTCTCCTTAAGAACAAGCCACAGTTACCTGGAAAATTTGCTTATATGGAAGAGCTTATTCTCAGCAAAACCTCACATATGAAACATAACTCTAGCATAGTCAAGTCATTGCCATATGTACAATCAAGAATGAGCAATTGGCGGGGCCAGCCCTGTGGCCTAGTGGTTAAAGTTCCATGCACTCCACTTCAGCGCCCTGGGTTCACAGGTTCAGATCCCAGGTGCAGACCTACTCTACTCAGTAGCCATGCTGTGGAGGCATCCCACATACAAAGTAGAGGAAGATTGGCACAGATGTTAGCTCAAGGACGATCTTCCTCAAGCAAAAAAGAGGAAGATTTTCAACGGATGTTAGCTCACGGCAATCTTCCTCACCAAAAAAATAATAATAGTAATAATTAAAAAAAAGAAAGCAATTGTCAGAGGCTAGAATCCAGTCAACTACTCTGAATATGCCAGGGGCATAATTTAATCACTGGAAGTATCTAAACAGGAGCATTGCTCTCAGACTTATTTTCAATGATCATCCATTTCTGAAAACGCGACCATTTATGATCATTGAAGAAGGGTTTGATGGAGTCCACAGGTCGTGGTGAGAAGACCCTCTGCAGATGATGGGAGGTTATGTTGCTGCAGACGTGGGTGGGGTGGTGAGTTGTAACTGACCGTCTCTGTCACACCGAGCTGTTCTGCAGGGGAAGCAGGAGTCGAGATGGATCTCAGTTGGTTATTTGGTGGTTAAGAGCTGCTTAGAACCAGGGCTCAGCAAACCTCTGTAGAGAGCCAGAGAGTAAATACTTTAGGCTTACGGGTCATACTGGATCACACTGTCTCCTTCATAAGTAGTCAACTCTGCCATTATAATGCAAAAAGCAGACATAGACCATATGCAACCGAATGGTGTGGCTGTGATCCAATAAAACTTTATTGGTTTAGAGCTTAAATAGTAATTGTGGGAACATAGGTGATATATGTATATACAAATCTGTATGGCAACAGGAAAACTAAGAGAATACTTGCATTTGGAGGTTGTCAGATGTTGAGCTTTTGAATCATTGTGGGATTTCATCTTTTCATTTGTTTGGTTTTGGTTGAATGGAGTTCAGGATTTTAGAATTTGCTGAGCATAGGTCAGGTCCCAGACATCCCTTGTCTGCAATCTCCTACTGTCCCTCTGTTTGGTGTTTCAGAAGGTATCCCTATGTCTTTTAATGCCTCTAGGATGTCACAGGCAACACTAAATGCCACTGTCTTCTGGAGAACACAAGATTGCTTTATTACAAAATTCTGGTTGGTAGACCATCGGGAACCACTTTTACTGTACTTGGGATGGTTGTTCTATATGTGCCATGCTTCTTGTTCTCCAGCTCCCAACGCAATGTACCCAGCATGTGATAGTCACTGAGTATTTGTTGAGTTGAGGTTCCTTTGGACAAGTACACAGTACACATTTAACTGCCTTTTAGCCATTAACTCTCTGCCACCCAGGGAGGGGAAGCCCTGGCCTTACTCTTTCATTATTAGTCTATGCAACTTTTGACTCTATTTTGAGCAGTAGTTCCTGCCCTCTCAGCTTTCTGGACACGTCCGTACTTTTCATGACTGCACTGTATTCAATGCAGATGCCGTTTCTTTGTTGGGGGTGAGGGCAGTGGAGGAAGCAGGAAAATTGGGCAAAAGGTTAAGGAGAACCCAACTTAACCTTTGAAAGCTTGCCGTTGCCCTTCAGAGCCTCAGTCTTCAGAAAAACACACATAGCCAGGACTGCTTTTGAGTGATTTCCTCTTTTATGAAGTGACTTGAGTTCTCGAAAGACTGAGATGTCACTTGCTGTGCTGTTGACTGTGCCACGGGTAGGTTTTCCATGGCAGCTACATCTGATGGTGAACTTGAACCATCACTGTTTCTAACTAAGAAACCTGATTGATGATACAACAGGCGCAGAGTTTAAGATAAAGAAATAGAGGAGGGAAACGCGCACTTGCTGTGTCTGGCAGCACAAGCTGTGGACAGATAGACTTTAGTTATTGATTCTTAGTTATTTCATTGCTGTCTCCAGAGCCTCGAGCTGCAGCTGTTAGGAAGAAAGGGCACATTGCTCAGCACTTGTTTCTGAAGGAATGAGTGTCTTTCCTAGAGAGAAAACATGTGCGCAGTCTGTGACATGTACAGGGTTTTACAGTCTACAGCATTCATCAGGAGCACCTCCAACTCCCCCGACCCCACACCAACCCTGTGAGGAGGTGGCGGAGGCTGAAAGGTGGGTGTTTTCACAGATGAGGAGATAAAAACTCACAAAGCCCCACAGCCAGGTGTGGGAAAACATCTTAGGACTCATCGTCCAATATTCTCCTCACTTTGCCCCATCACCCACAAGGAGAGCAGAACTCAGAGAGCCTCTTGTCCCTGGAAAATAAACCATTTTGGCCATAGGGCTAGAAAGCCTGGCTTGTTTCAAGAGCCTTTCCCATCCTAGTGACTGTTTTGCCTTATCGTTAGCTCATGCAGCAAGTTAGAGTGTCTTAATGATTGCAGCTTAACCCTAGTCCTAGGTAACCATTACTTTCCTCCTGCTCATCCTTGTTAATGCCACAGCCTCAGCATTGGTCTCTGGGTTTGTCCATGGTGCAGAGGCAGCGGTGTTACTGCTGACGAGTTTTCCCAGAGGGTACTCCGCCCCTCACCCCTTTGTCTTTTAGGTCCAAATTTGAACATATCTATTGAGACACTGTCTGCCCAGTAGATCCCTAATGAAAGAGGAATCCTAGGTTCTAGTCCCACCTCTAAGTTGGTGTACTGTGTGTGCTGCTGCTGCCCTGGCTGACCTTGGGCAAGGCATTTGCCCTTTGAAGGCTCCCTTTTCCTTATCCGTCATGTGAATGCTTTGGGCAAGGTGGCCCTGTTTCACAAAGGCTAAGTGAACTCTCAGGGGTAGAAAAGAGAACTCAGATTTTAAGTGAACAGAAGATTTAGGCAGCTTTTCTGTAAGAGGTTCACACATAGATACTTGTGGCTTACTTTAAAAAGGTAATTTTGTCAAGTCTCCTTGATGACAAGACAACACTAAATTTCTGGATTCTTTGTTCTCTCTTCCAGATGCCACTATGGACAGAATAGCTTATGATGCTTATCCCCACCCACCACTTCCGAGACATTGAGCGGAAGCCAGAATACCTCCAGCCGGAGAAGTGCATCCCACCTCCCCACCCCAGTCCTGTGGGAACCATGTGGTTTATCCGCGACGGCTGTGGCATTGCCTGTGCCATTGTCACCTGGTTTCTGGTCCTCTATGCGGAGTTTGTGGTCCTCTTTGTTATGTTGATTCCATCCCGAGACTACGTGTACAGCATCATCAACGGAATTGTGTTCAACCTGCTGGCCTTCTTGGCCCTGGCTTCCCATTGCCGGGCCATGCTGACGGACCCCGTGAGTATGTCTGGGCTTGTTTTGACCCGCCCACACTCTTCTCCTCTGGCCCTGGCATGGCCGCAGCCTGCATATTCCCCCTGGACCTTGGAAATGTAGAGAACAGGAGGGCCAGGGCTGGGGTGGGAAAGTGGACTTGGCCCCACGGAGGGGACAACATCTGTGCCACCGCCTGTCTGTCTTGGTTGAATGATACTATGTGTACATTGGTGTATACATTAATTGAGCCTGCTGTGGGAGGGGTTTGGTCTAGGGGAACCCTAGCCTCTGATTAGAAAGATGAAGTCAGATAACATGGAGACTGGGGCCAGATGATTAGAGGGAAAGTGTGCTGGGGGGTTGGGTCAGGGCAGGGCTTCCCAGTGAAGACAGGACTGGAGCTAGGTATATTTGAAATTAAAGCCACATCCAGTTCCAGGACGCTGCACGGAAATGGCCTTCACTTTGTTTGGACAGGCTCATCTTTTCCTGAAAAGGGGGACAAGCCTATTTCAGGCCGCAGCAAGTGCCTCTTGGTGAATATCTTTGGGTAAAGCAGTGGTGTTCTGCCGTGATGTAGCTAAATATGCCAAGCTGTGCAAGTGGCTATTGCGTGTCATGTACCCTGGTATTAAATCCTCTGTTCCTGTTCATTATCTTGTATGGGAAAAGCAAGAGAGCGCGTTATTTGATAAAGACCTCCATGGCTTAATTGTTTCAGTATGTGGGACAAGTGTGTTTAAATGAAGAAAGGGAAAGCACTGCCAATGACAGTGGCACTGGCCACACGGGTTTCGTTTCTCTGAGCCCCAGGGAAGTTACAGTAAAGATGTGGGTCCTGAGCTAGTTCCCTTCTTGAAGGGCTCCATTTCCTGCTGGCTCAGGTGGTGGATTATAAGCCCGCATGGGAAAGCAGCATTTTACAAGGATCACTCTGGCAGCAGTGAGGACGAGCCCTGGGGGGGCAGTGGTGGGTGGAATACAATGAACAGCGCATTTATTGAGTGCCTACTGTGTGAGACGTTCCTTTCTGAGCAATAGATATAGCTGTGAGCAAGACAAACCAAAATCCATGCCCTCTTGAAGCTCACGTCCTAGTGTAGGGGGTCAGGCAGTAAGGACATGAGCGAACAAGATAATTTCAGAAAGTGAGAAGTGCTTTAAAGACAGTAAAACAGTGTGATCCAGATAATGTGGTGACTTTTTTGGGGCAAAGGGGACTACTTTAGATCAAGGAGATGTGAGAAGGCCTCTCTGAGGCCATGCCTTTTGAGCTGAGACCCGAATGACGTGAAGCTGCAAGTCAGGCAAATGAAGATCTGAGGGCAGAGCATTCCAGGCAGAGGAGAGAGTAGGTACAAAGGCCCAGAGGTAGGCACGTGCTTGGCATGTTTGAGAAACAGCACTAAGACCAGGGTGACCGAAGCATGGTGAATGGGGGTGAGAAGGGCTAGAAGAGGTGGAGAGAGCTGCAGAAGCCAAATCGGGCAGGGCCTTGTAGGCCTCGTGAGAACTTTGGTCTCTATCCTAAATGCAGTGGGAAGCCGTCAGAGAAGCATGATGTGACCTGATTTTTAAAAAGACAATGCCTTGTGCTTGTGATGGGGGTTTGAGGTGGACAAGTGAAAGCAGGAAGATGAGAGTTATTGTGCTGGTCCTCGTAAGACATGGTGGTGGCTCAGACCAAGGTGGGAGAGGTGAAGCTGGAGTGAAGCTGTTGAATTTGGAGTCTATTTTAGGCTGCTGATTCTCAAGCCTGGCTGCATGTTAGAATCCTTTGGGGAGCTTTTAAAAAGTACTAATGCCTGGACCCCACCCCCAGAGATTCTAGTCTAATTGGTAGGGCGGGGTCCTGGTACTGGGGTGCTTTAAAACTCCCAGGCATCTCTCATGTTCCGCCAGGTCTGAGAACTGCCATTCAAAAGAGCTGAAGAATAGAAGAGGGATTGGAGAGTGTGCCTTCCAGTCTTGGCTTGAGTAGCTGGGAGATTCACTGGTGCCATTTATTGAATGGGAGAGTCTGGGGAAAACAGACTTTCGAGAGAAATCAAGGTTTTTATTGTGGCCAAACTGCATCTATATTACATGTTAGCAGAGATGCCAAGTGGGCAGTAGATAGCCAGGTCTGGGGCTGGTGGAGGGTCAGGATCAGAGAGTCGAGTATGCAGGTCATTGATTTCCAGAAGGCGTGTGAATCAGGGAACTGGATGTCCAGTGGGGGTGGGAGAGGCTTCCACCCTGGTGTTCCTGCTGCCCTCACACGCGTGTGTCCTTTTCCCCCCACGTTGACTCATGTGGCCTCTCCAGGGACCTCCTCAGTCTGGCCCCTTGCAGTTGAATGCAGAGAGAATGATTCTCACTGTGGTATATGTTGCTCAGCTTCCAATCCCAAATAAGTGAGAGCCATAGACTGTATCCCAAACACCAGTCAACTTCTCATAGGTGTGTTTTGCTGGTGGCCCCAAAGAAAACTGGGCCAAAAAATGAAGCATCTGTCAAATATCTACCATTAGTTAGGGGAGCAGCTCAAAGCATGTCCTACAGGTGTGCCCCATCTCAGGCTCTTCCTGCCGCTGACTGCCTCTCCCCACTCCCAGCACATGACACCTTATGCAAAACCCAGTGTATAAAACAGAAAGAGGTGGAACTGCAGAGGTGGGAGCCCCTGGGGCACCCTGGGCTTCCACCAGGCAGAGTTGGGAGCCCAGATCTCACATTGAAGGCAGATCAATTAGGGTTCATTATTAACACTGCAGGGGGAGTCTGTTTTCAGAAGGGCAATGCTCAGTGTTCCAGGGAGTTCCCTAACAGAATGATCATATTTGGATCTCAAGAATTCATGTTGCCTGTAGTTTTTCAGAACAACTTACATCCTAAGATTATAAACAATGTATAACAATGTATACAATGTATATCATTTTCGTTTGTTAGTATTACTAGGAAAAAGAAAAAAAACTCTTATAGGCTCCCCCAAACAGTTACTGTACCACTTCTAGCTTTGAAATTCTTATTCTAAATGTAACATCAGAGCAATTGCAGCCACCACAGCTTTCTGGGCCATTTAGCAAACATTTACTCCTACACAGAAGTAAAGCTCCGCAGAAAACAGAAGAGGGAAATGTGTAAGCAGCCCCCTCGGAGGTGAAAGTCCCCTTTGAGAAGGGGATAAAAGGGATAGGCCTGTAAAGAGAGGGAAGGGGACAGAGGGGCAGGTGCCTCACTTGGCAGGTGGGCTGGCATGGGTGTGGGCAGGAGCCCAAGTCAGACTGGTGTTTGATCTCTGGGTACCTCTTCTTGCCTGCTCTGAGGTTGCGTAATGTCATCAAAGGAGCGTTCTGTGTTCCTGAAACATTTCAGACGTTTAGAGGTCTAGAGTGGCTCCACTTGCCCAGAAGAGGCAGCCTCTTGAAGAAAACCTGGACTCAAAAACCCTTATCTTGGTACCCCTTTCTCTCCTTTCCTGCCTCCTCCAGTTTTACCACCTTTTCTTTCCCAGTTACAAGTACATTTTTAATTCCTCATCCTGTGAACCCCCTCAGGCATCCTGAGGGATTCCCTTTAAATTTTACATCTGAGACAATGTCTGTCTTCCAGAAGAAGCTTACAGCTGAGAGACACAGCTTGTTTCTTTTTGTCCTGGCTGCCAGGAAGCTCAAAAGCCAAGCACTACTCAATGATAGCAATTGTGTAAACTCTGTGGTCAGCTTTTTTTTGCCCCTCCTTTCTTTGGACCTAATCATTTATTAACCTCATTGTAGATTATCTCAAACCTGAGATTTGAAAAAAGGAGGAATGTAAATCAATTCAATTTAACCACATTGTTAAGAAAAAGAAAATTCATCTGTCTTCCTGCCGCTGCCCCTCCCTCCCATTGAATCCCACACTGGGAACACCTTGCTATAAACAGACCTCACATGACTATCTCAGACCACTGCAGGCCACCGATTTACTTTTACCCAGCAAAACTCATCAGTGAAATATCGGGACTCACTTCAGCATGCATTTGATATCCCCTCTGGAGTCTCCCTCGGTGACTTTATTCAGCACATCTGTGTACAGAATCAGTAACTATTTACTTGGGCCGGTAGCATGGCAGCATGATGTCGGGCCCGTGGAAACCCAAAGAAGGAATGTAACTGGGCCCTCCTGCAGTGTGCAGCTGCGTGCTGGGTGCAGCCCAAGAAGGCCTTCTCCCGTCTTGCCCAAAGGTCTGAGCACATTCCCAGGTCAGGAGACTTGCCTCAGGGTTCACTTGAGTCGGGTGCTGCATTCTCCCTCATGCCAGGCAACTTCTCATACGTGCCACTGAGTAACTTATAAACACTGACTGGAAAGTCTTTCTAGCTCCAGAGAGAGGAAGGTGACCAATTGGGGCATTACCTGCCGTGCAGGAGACAGGTGGCCTTGTGACACAGGCCTGGGGCTGATCACCCTGTTTCCGGCAGAGCAAATAGAAGGAGAGTTTCTGCCTAGACCAGTAGGTGTGCAGAAGCCTTGATCCCATGGTCCCTGAAACAATTTAAGCAGGTTTTCACCCTCATTGCTTGAAATAAATAGAGTCATTGGTGCTTCTTTGGAACCTGTCTCCATTGCTTTCCATTGTGTCCTTTTTACATCATCATAATTATCCTGGATACTTACTGAAACCAGCCTTGTTATCCTGGGCCTGTTTCACTCTTAATGTTAGCATGGTAATATAGTTGTTGACAGGAGAAGGCATATGGCATCAAAGCAATAAAAAAAAGCCTCTTTGGCGCTGGCCTGGTGGCATAGTGGTTGGGTTCATGTGCTCCTCTTCAGCAGCCTGGAGTTTGCAGGTTTGGATCCCAGGCACAGACCTATGCACCACTCATCAAGCCATGCTGTGGCAGCATCCCACATGCAAAATAGAGGAAGAGTGGCACAGATGTTAGCTCAGTGACAGTCTTCAAGCAAAAAGGAAGATTGGCAAGGGATATTAGCTCAGGGCCAATCTTCCTCACCAAAAAAAGAAAAAAGGCCTCCTCAAGTCACTTAATAGA